AAGTGAACGGAAAAGTTCATGGAGGTAGGCATAGGTCCACTGGGGCTGTAGTGCCAAGGAAAAAAAAAAGTGGAATAGCATGCATAGTCCTAAATATTTACTTTTATGTGTAGTAATTACCAGACTTGAGTAAAACCATAATAGAGGAATTAAATGGATACCTAAATGAACAACAGCAAAAAAGAATATACGCATGAGTTATGCCCAAACTCATCCACGAACCAGTACTTTTATTGCAGATTCTGCAGATTAATGTGTTAAAAATATATAGTAAAATTTCGATGTACATATCTTTTGTTTTCTGCTTGATGTATATATAGGCTGAAATGAAACCACAGTATTCGATGTCACTATGAACGCACAGAAAACAGATCGCACTCTGTATCTGAACCACGATGCAACTGTTTTTTCATGACGGTAGAAAGGGCAATAATCTCTTGCAGCTATAGTGGAAGGTCTTAGCACTTAAGAAGGGACCCCTCTAGCTTTCTGTTGAATAGCCATTCTTTCATTCTTCTGTCCTTTATTCAAAAGATTCGAAAATCCGAAGAGTGTAAAGTGTTGGCAGAAGACCACATGATTTCATTGCTTTCATCTGTTTTATGTCTCCAGGGACTCCTAAATTTGTCAAGTGTTACAAACAGAAATGAATTTATAATGCGTATAATATGGGGAGGATCGCTGAAAGCAGTAGCATAGATGTTCTGTTGGTCTAGAGGTAAGGCACCGGCGTAGTAAATGGAAGGTCGGCGGTTCGAGACCACAAGCATTTTTGTAATGAAATTTTTATGGAATTATATAGCGAGATGTAACATAAGAGGAAGATTAAATGTCAAAAATTTCCGTGGAATTGGTGGCCTATTGGTAAAACAATGGCTTAGTGAATCGGAGTTCCGAGTTTCGGAACCAAAGGAAGTTTTATAAAATACAAATAAGATTTTATGTAATTATGACAACAGATGTAACATAAGAGGAAGATTTATGGTCGAAAATTTCTGTGGCATTGGTGGCCTATTGGTAAAATAGTGGCCTAATGTCGCGGACTTCTAAGGTTCGGAACCAACAAAAGTTTTATAAAATACAAGTGGAGTTAATAAGATTTTTCTGGAATTATAACCGAAGATGTAGCTTAAGAGTAAGATTAAAGAAAACAAATTTCTGTGGTGCTGGTGGTAAGACATCAGCTTAGTGTTCATAAGGTCCCTGGTTCAAAACCAATAGGATTTTTGTGAAAAAAATAAAAAAAGAAAACCAACGGCAGTGGAAGAAGTGAAGAGATGGAGATAAGAAGGTGCGGTAGGGGGGCGAGGCAGGGTAGAATTTTTGTCTTTTTTTTGGTCGCTTCATTAAGACACTCGCCTAAGCGGGTTTTATTAAAATCCACATGGGATCAAAAATAAACAAAAATTCGGCCCACCATCCGCCTCTCCAACCACCCGCCCTTAGGGTAGACTTTGACTTATTCATTTGAGATCAAGTTCTATCAACGAGAGTTAAGGAAGTATTAAATAACACCGTAGCACCATCTGTGGAGAAGTGTTCAGATTTCAATCCACAGTTAAAATCCACACGGGATCAAAAAAGAAAAATATTTTGGCCCACCTCCGCCCTCGGGGGGGGGGNGCCGTGGGGGGGGGGGTGACTTGAACTTTTTAATTTGAAACTAAGTTCTATCAACGAGAGTTTAGAAAGTATTAAATAACACTTTAGCGCCATCTGTGGATTCAAACCTGAACATTACTCCACAGATGGCGCTAAGTTTTTATTTAATTTTTTCTTCTTAAATCGCACTGATTTATCTTGGTCTCAAGTGCTTAAGTAGCTGCGTGATATGCAGGTTAGGCTAACACTCAGTGGCTACCCATAAGGTTATAGTCTTCAGTGTTCAGATTTTGTTTCCCGCTGTTTTAGGTTGATCCCAAGTGATTAATCTTTAACGCCCGAAGTACCCCGACCGAGCCAGTGATGATTATGATCGTCGTGGCCGAAATAACCCGTTTTGGAAAGTCTACTTTCCTAGTAAAAGCGCATGCCGGTCACGGTAGCCGAGCAGTCTAAGGAATGTACTGTCTTCGCTCGCTTGGAAACCGGGATCGTGGGTTCGAGTGTCACTCAGGGCATGGATGTTTAGTTTGTGTGTGTGCGTATTTCTGTGTTTGTGTACATGTAGAGGCCTTGCGACGAGCTAATCACCCGCCCAAGGAGTCCTACCGAATGTGTAAGATCTAGAAAAATCGAAGTGAAAGGAGAAGTTCATGGAGGTAGGCCTAGGCCAAGGCCCACTGGGGCTGTACTGCCATGGAAAAAAAGTGGAATAGCGTGCACAGTCCTAAATATTTATTTTTAAATGTAGTAATTACCAGACTTGAGTAAAACCATAACAGAGGAATTAAATGTACACCTCAGTGAACAACAGCAAGAAAGAATGAACGTATGAGTTATGCCCAGACGCATCTACGAGCCAGTACTTTTATTGCAGATTCTGCAGATTAATGTGTTAAAAATATATAGTAAAATTTCGATGTACATACCGTTTTTGTTATCTGCTTGATGTATATATAGGCTGAAATGAAACGACAGTATTCGATTTCACTATGAACGCACAGAAAACCGATGGCACTCTGTATCTCAACCACGATGCAACTGTCTGTTTACGACCCTAGAAAGGGCAATAAGCTCTTGCAGCTATAACGGAAGGTCTTAGCACTTGAGAAGGGAACGCCATGCTTTCATTCTTCTATCCTTTAGTCAAAAGATTTGAAAATCCGAAGAGCGTAAGCAGTGTTAGCAGAAGACCATATGATTTCATTGCTTCCATCTGTTTTATGTCTCCAGGGACTCCTAAATTTGTCAAGTGTTACAAACAGAAATGAATTTATAAGGCAGAACAAGTCCGTGAAGTACTGGGAAACAACTTTTGCAGTACGCATCAAAATTAAAAGAAAAGAATTGAAAATAGAGTATAACTCTTTGTATAAAAATTTTCAAATCTTCCGTTGTAATATGCGGCCCTATGTTCTTTGCTGACACAAACAAAGTTTATTCCATCCATTTATCCTAAAAATTGAGTTAGATACAGTATTTTAAACACAATGCTTAAAATTGTTTAGGCGCCCTAACAGGAACGGACATTTAAACGCAGATTAGCAGCGGGCATTTAAATAGCTGAGTAACACCAAAGGGTGGCCGATAGTCTAGTGGTAAGGTGTATGGTTTAGAATTTATGTGGTTCGGAGATATGACTATTTTTGTCTGGGTGGTCTCACATTCTATGAAACCATGCGCAGGGTGGTATCACATTCTATGAAACCATGCGAAGGCTGGTATCACATTCTATGAACCCAAGAGTAGGCGGGTATCACATTCTTAGGAACCATGCGTAGGGTTGTATGACATTCTATGAAATCATACGTAAGGTTGAACCATGCGTAGGGTGGTATAACATTCTATGAAAACATGCATATGGTGGTATAACATTCTATGAAACCATGTATAGGCTTATATCATATTCTATGAAGACATGCGTAGGGTGGTAACACTTTCTATGAAAACATGCATAGGGTGGTATCACATTTTATAAGACCACACTTGGGGTGGAATCACATTCTATAAAACAATATGTAGGGCGGTATCACATTTTATAAAACCATGCGTAGGGTTGTATGACATTCTATGAAATCATACGTAAGGTTGAACCATGCGTAGGGTGGTATAACATTCTATGAAAACATGCATATGGTGGTATAACATTCTATGAAACCATGTATAGGCTTATATCATATTCTATGAAGACATGCGTAGGGTGGTAACACTTTCTATGAAAACATGCATAGGGTGGTATCACATTTTATAAGACCACACTTGGGGTGGAATCACATTCTATAAAACAATATGTAGGGCGGTATCACATTTTATAAAACCATGCATAGGGTTGTATCACATTCTATGAAACCATGTTTAGGGTGGTATCATAATCTATGAATCATGTGTAGGTTGGTATCACATTCTATGAAACCATGCGTAGGCTGGAACCACATGCTATAAAACCATGTGTAGGCTGGTATCATGTTTTATGAAACCATGCGTAGCGTGGCATCACTTTCTATAAAACCTTGTGCAGGAAGGTATCACATTCTATAAAACCACGTGCAGGATGGCATCACATTCTGTAAAACCATGTGCAGGATAGCATCACATTCTATAAAACCACGTGTAGGATGGCATCACATTCTCTAAAACCATATGCAGGATGGCATCACATTCTCTAAAACCATGTGCAGGATGGTATCACATTAGCTGAGGCATGTCTGTCTGGACGTCTGCCGGCATGTAATAATTATAGAACAACTGGGATTATTTTCATGAAACTGGATATTGGACAGTTTTAGTGACACCCGTTGAAAAACTGTCATTTCATTTATAACTGGACAGCATTAACGGACAATTTACATGGAGACCTACATACTGTGACATGTTGACCCCCACCTCCCCAGCGGTACGTGGCGGTAACGTAACGCTCGCATTACTACGGTAATAGGCGAGTTCCCGCCCCGCCACTCCCCTCCGCGTTGACGTAACGCGCAACGCGCGGTGACGTCACGAGCGGAGCCGAAGAGAGCCGAGCGGAGCCGAAGATAACCGAGCCCCGTAACCAGAAACACGTTACACTGGTGTCAGAAGTGGGATCAGTAACGTAAACACGTTACAATACATTTGTATTCATATCAGCAGCGGAACCCGCGGAATGTTTATTATAACCATAAAACTTGAAAAATAAAAAAAAAAACAGAAGAGAAAATGAAACATTTTCTATTCATGTGAGTCTTAAGATCTCGGCGATATTTGACAGAAGTGAGTGCACCAGAACTGTTATGCTCTGTACAGGGCTACAATTTAAGACACAATTTTTCTCTGATCACTCACATAGGGCATCCTTTCAACTTCATAAGCTTTTTTTTGACCGACTGATATAACTGACGCGTGGGGCGGGAATGTTTTACCATTGAGCACGTGAAGGAGAACAGAGGCGGAGTCCAGGTTGGAAGGGCTGCACGTGTAGTTTCCAGAGTCTTCGCGACGACCGTTGTAGATGATCAGTGTGCCGACAGTGGTGTCCGGACCTACGCGCTCCATCCGGATGTCCCTGGAGCTGCTGTCATAGTTGAGAACACGTTCGTTGTCATGATACCAGAAGATGTAGGCTGGTTCCTCCAGTGACTGTGTGATCACACACTTGAGGTTCACCGTACTGCCCGTCTTCACGTACAAGTCAGACTCCCCCATGATCTCGATTTTGGGAACTGCAAACAATAAAACGATTGCCAACATCAGAAGATAAACTACATGCCTCACAAATATATAGTGCGTCCAAACTATCTTTGTGAGTGCGCCATAATCAGACAGTGACACAGATCGTTACTACTTCATTAGAAAGTTTAGAACATAAGATTAGAACAAAAATCGCCATAACGCAGACCTCGCTAAATAAGCAGGGTAATTTTCCTCCGTAAATATGCCTACTCAAGGTATGAAGAACCTTCAGAGATATAATGAAATCTCCGGGGCACGAGGTAGCGTAGTTGGTTGAGACACTATGCTACAAGCCGGAAGGTCGCGGGTTTGATTGCCGATTATGTCACTGGATTTTTCAATCCATCTAATCCTTCCAAGCGCATTATGGCTCTGCGGTCGATTCAGCCTCTAACAGAAATGAGTACCAGGAATCTTCCTGGGCGGAAAGGGTGGCCAGCACGTAAGGGTGACAACCTCACCGCTATCTGTGTGCCGATTGTCTGGAAAATGTGGGAGCCTCGACGTCTCACGACACTATGGGCCTCCACGGCCTGTTACAGGGACAACTCTACTTTTTTTATAATAAAGTCTCTTCACGGTAAATGTTGAAGGTAACGGAAATGTTTTTACCTAAGCACAACATTATAAAGGATATGGGGAATTGGAGGTATAGCTGCATGCTTTAACCTCGGGACCAGACGGAGAAAATTTATCAGTTCTACGCTTCGGCCGCTTTACTCCCGAGACAGAGCCTCAGTACCCATTGGATAGGAGGTTGATCACACTGGGACTCGAAATCCGACCCCTCGGTTGTCCAGCCTGTAGCTGGTCGCTATACGAACTACGTTTAGAGACCATTAAATGATATTTCCAAAATATGAAATTCACCAATAATTCAGGAAATCAAAATCACGTGGCCCCTGTCTCAAGCCACTGCTTTTAACCATCCTAACGTCTTCACTTTCACACTAGCCTAAACAGAAGGACGAGCAGACGAAGCCTGTGAACCTAACAAAATGACACTTCCCCCCCCCCACACACACACACAGAAGACGTATCATAGTTGTCGTGCGACTTTTCCGTTTCATCTTCTCCTTTACTATAGCTCCCTAGCTCCTATTCTTACCAGACTTCAGTTAATGGTCGAAACCATTTTCCTGTCTGTTGTATATGCCGTATTTGTAGACTTGTGTTTAGCTTTTACATCTGATTTCACTATTTTAATTAATTAATTACTTATTCATGTTTCACGTAATAGAATGGCAAACATAGCAATTAATTTTAAATACTGCAATTCATTAAATCGTTGTATTAACTTAATTCGTTTTTCAGTGTATTTTGTATTACATTTTCATACTCCTACATATTAAACTATGTCATCAAAAGTGAAAATTCGGTGACGTTCTGTAATCATGATGCAAAATGGAAAAAATATTCAACAACATATACAGAACGAAATTCGGTTAATTTATTAACAACACAGTCACATAAAACAGGTAACGCGATTAAGGACAATCTTATATGAGAAAATAAACATGAGATTTCCTTGTTCTTTTCCTGTAATCTATCTCTCCATCAAAACGGACATTTACACATCGGAGTCGCCCCTCAAATAGTATCAAATGTTAAATAATAACATGCAACATAACAACGGGCCTCCGAACACATCAGCCATTGTGTATATATGTCCGTATAAGAATTACATATATTACGATTACAACTGCCAACTTCCAAATACCATCACATATACAACTTTTAACTGTACTTTTGTCTATGTAACTGGTTATTTAAGACTTCAATTTTTATTGTAATTTATATTTTATATTTACTCATATCATTTTATACCAATGTATACACTTGGAAGTTTAGCACTATATCCTATATTTGACATGAAATTCAATAATGAAAAGTTGAATATATTTGCCTGATGATGACTTTTTGAAGGCCGAAACATGTAGCAAAAGTATTTCCTAGAGCTACTTACAAGTATTATTGATTGTTGTGTTATGACGGTTTTCAGTAAGAAATAATATGAAATTTCCCTGTTTTTGCAATTCGAATGTTGACATTCACAGGACACCGATTTTTGATTTAAGAACTCCCGAATACAGAACTTGGAATAAAATTCGCTCAACCGTTTAGGCATGAGAGGCAGATCCTTCCATCTATAAGTACATAATACAGACAGACAGAAAGGAGCATGCTAGAAACACTTTCTCTATTGAAGGGTCGCTATTTTCAGAGCTGAAAAATTACAGGAGTTATTCTTCAAATTGCTGTACAAATTTGACTTACGAAATATGATTTCGTTCCATTTCTACAGTAGAAAATCTTTATATTTTTCATGGTTCGACGAACGCAAAATGTGCTTCTCTTTACTACGTTAATATTGAAACATTATCCTGTTTCCCATTTCTTACTTCCAAATTAAGCTTACAATTCGTTTCTCTTTTTAATCCCAGATGAATTTTTCAATATATTTTAAACAGGCTTCAGGTATCTTGTTTGTGTACAAAATTCATTTTTCACAGTCATTTTTTCCATATAGAGCACTATTTTCCAGAAAGCTGTCAGGAGGATTGTGAGATAAATTTTTTCTTCCGTAAATAAATACCAGTGTTAGCAGAAATACGCTCATAACTGCAATACGCAACACAATCAATCAATCAATCTTCATTTTCTGGCGGACCTCGCTGAGAACACTTGCGGCACGTGTGGGATTACTGAATGGCGTTTTCGCTGAAAACCAAAATTGTACGGTGAACGTGATGAACCAACAAAATTGAAGATCTGACAGCTGAGGTGGAGGCTGTCTCAGCCGAACCACAAGACAGCAACACCGTTCTAAAGCCTTTACGAAGATTTCCCCAGCACCTGCCTCTAAGCTCACTAATTCATTAAATCATTTCTGGTGTCTTTAACGGCGCTGAGCCTAACTTATACCACAGCGTTATACAATAATAACAGTATCATTACGTAATCACAAATTGGAAAGATTGTGGAAACAAACGGTTGTGGCCTAATTCCAAGCATCAATGCAACATCTGGCTGAAGGAATTTCAAACAATGAAAAGTCTCAGAACACCTGGCCTCTGGACCGAGAGTTATCCCGACATTTCCACCACGCGGAACAGTGCTACCACCGTCTACATAGTGACCAGTGATATTTACCGTCGAAACATTCAAAAGCCAACAGAGAACCGAGGTACTGAACGAATAATGAGTGTCCTCAAACACAGAAGGAATATTTTCTGGTTTACTTAACGACACTGTTAATATAATGTTGAATTGTGGAACTATAGGTGGCTAATGAATAGGAGAGAATTAGGAAGAAAACAGAGCTGACAAAATTTAAGGCACTATAAGGATATTTGCACGGAGAGACTTAGGAACACCACGGAAAATGTCACGACAACCGGTGTCCCTGCTGATAATCGAATAGAACACTTCCTGAATACATGTATAAACCTTTACCGCTACACTATTTTACGCAGCGATACAGTAATATGATCAGTGAATTATGAACTGAAAATAATATCATAATCGAATTTAAATTACTATACTGACATTTTATGTACAGTGACATAAAAAAGACTAAAAGTCTCTGTGCGGGCAGGCCCCTCGACCGCCATATTAATCGTTTTCGACCCGCGATATAGGATTCGTGCTTACTGCAAGGTAGAGCATGCAACACCTTACCGGGATTCGCACTCCTGAAACTCCAGTGTGTGTCAACTAAAACAGGAGGCATAAATGGATCAAGTACATCTGTTTACATTGTGCCTACCCACTTTGATATGTGATTACAACACATGAATCTTCCTCTTCCAGAGTAATTAATTCCATTATAAACAAGGCAATAGTACCATCAGCTGAAGTGCAAGTGACATTACAATAGTGAGGCGCATGCGCACATGATGAAATCGGGGCCTCGCTTGCTGAGGACCGGGGCTGTGCTTTGTGTAATTACGGGAGAAGACGCTACTAATAATGAAAGGCGACACCACAGCGCGTCGGGGCGCAGACAATAACGGAGACGGGTCTCTGTGGGACTCGAATAGAAGCAAGAACTTCTCCTTCATCTTTCTTTTTATTACTCTCTCATTCCATGTTGTTTTTTTTTTTTGAGTGTAGAATCGGTGGGGGGGCGGGGTTCTGTGTGACAGGCTTTATCGACATTCCCTCTTCGTGTGGTCTCCACGGCAATCAACCCCTCCCCCACTCGTCTTCCTTCCCATTCAACACCTTTTCCTAACAGTCGCCTCTTTTTGACGTAATGATCAAGATTCATAAACCGGTAATTCCACAGCCTGAGCAAGTCCTAAACTCCTCACTCGACGGCTTGGGAATCGCACGAAATAAGCAGGAACTTCAATTACTGTTCATTTTCTTGACATTCAGCAGTGAAATGTTACATTCTACGGTACACACCACGCCAAAATGTTCAGCACTCTCCTTCTGGCACTTTCTCTTTTCATCTGGACCAACACAGACCGGGTAAGTACGTTCAGCGGTGAAGCTACTGACTACAACTTGAAGCATCAAATACATCGTTGGTTATTTAACGACGCTTGTGACTATACAGCGTTGGGTAAGTAGGTTGAATGATGAATGGGAAGGGATTTAGAAGGAAACGGTCGTGCTCTAAAACGAGCTATATCCGTAAATTTCACGGGAGGGACGGAGTAAATCCAAAAATGTAAGGAGACATAGTAATCTGGCCGAGATTCAAACCGAGCACCTCCCGAATATAAGTCCAGAGAGGCGCCTGCAGATTAACGCGTTTAGTCCGAAACTTGAACCTCATCAGTATAAAGCGAGATTCTTATGGTGGAGACTATGAACATTACTGCCTTCTGGGATGTGACACCGTTTATCTTGGTAGATTGTTTCCAACATATTGGAGAGATTTTCTACCTCCATCCTCAGGGAGGCTGTAGTTATTCCGAAATACTCCTAATGACCTACCAATACACAGTCCTCTGGGTTCCCTAACTATTCCTGGCCT